AGCGGGGAGCCGCAGCCCGCTTGGCAGCAGCGCCGTGTTGTCTTCCTCCCTCTGCCCTTCCGTGTTGATGTATCTTTGAGCTCGGTGTAGCGTCGGGGGGATGCTTCCAGCGCCCGGAGGAGCTGGCGTGCTCCTCCCGCGTTGCACTGTAAATCCTGTCCGTGTCTCGCTTTTCCTCGGCTGCCTTCCCTTCACAGCCCGTGCTGTCCGATACACCTGGTCGCAGGGCACGTCTGGTTTTGTCTCTGACCGTCCTACTGCTTGTCTGACACGTAGCACGTGTTGCTCGTGCTTCTCTCTTGATCTCCGAGTAACCTCGTTTCCTTCTGCTTTGGATCCGCATCTTATGCAATATGGGACATTTGGTGGTAGATTTCTGTAGCTGCCCCGTGATGATTACACGTCTCTCTGCTCAGAGCAGGCAGTAAAACTGTGCTGTCATCCTTTCATCTCAACATCCTTTTTACTTCTGCCTTATTCTCCTGCCAGCTTGCAGCCACTGTTCCTCTTACAGACTTGCTGTCGAACGCTTTTCTCCTATTTGATGCATGATTTTGACCTCATGATCCTGTTGAGTTGTGTGAAGCCCAAAAGTGTGGACTTTCTTTCAGTTCGACTTGCTTTTGAGGTAAGGTGCTATCAAAGACAGTGGCTCAGACAGACTGTCTGCTGGGGGTGCATGAGCCTGAGAAGAAAACTTGGTACATAAGTCAGCAGAATTTGATATATATGTAGCAAGCCAGGTCCAGGTTATTGTAGCTCTTTATGGGAGGTAACTGTGTTGTGAGGAACTCTGGCATAGCAGTGTGTTTTTTCAACTTTGAAAATGTTGCCTAACACTTTGTTTCAACCCAAGTACTTTAATTTGCGTCCTTTGAATTCTTGCACAGTTTTACCCTGATGGTATGTTCTTTTCACCCTATCTTAAGTGGTTAGTGTTCCTGTTAAATAGCTGTTGCATGTTGCCTTCAAGTGTCTGCCTGTCAGTGGAGGTAGTGATTCCTGCTTAGAGCTGTAGTGACTCTTTGGTCTGTTTGTAGAGGAGAGGGCGGTATGAGCGATGGATGGTTCCAGAATGCCTTTGCTGAGCAAAAGCAGCATGAGAAAGTCAATTACTTCTGTGACAGCATCCCTTTACATGGCTCCCTGGGAGCTGTGTGAAGGGAAGAGGTGGTTCCAGGAAAATGCATTATGGTGAAGGTAACCTTCTGTGGAGAGGTGTCAGTCCTTTTCTGGTCCTGGCCACCTGAGTGTTGCATTTGCTTAGCCTCCTTCTCATGCTCCTTGCAGTTGAAGCTCTGGGACAGGGATCTCCTACTATCTGTTTTACGTGCATCCATTTGCCACTGCTAAAATAAATCCGTATTTTCTCCTATTGCAAGGCAATAGTGCTGGAGGCACTACCAGAAATTGGAGCTGCGTTGTGTTAAGTAGCGTACAGATGTCTAATAACCAATAGTCCAAAGGGCTGATCATCAGCATTGGCAAGAGAACGTACAGCGCTGTCCTCATTGCACACCTGGGGCCTGGAGAGTCAAAGAGTTCTGGGGACCTGCTAAGGGTCATGGAGAAAACTGTAGGATCCAGGAACTGGCCCGCAGTCTGCCAGGTCCCTCTCCAAATCCTGGGGTCCCCTGCACCCTGGGCACTGCTGTCTCAAGTAAGGCTGAGAAAGGCCGTGGTAAATCCAGCCAGGATGATGGAGAAAGCTCCAGCTTTGCTGTTTTGTTCAGTGGTGAGCGCTACAGCATGCAGCAAGAGATCACTTGCAGGTTAAACTGCCCTGCAGAAAGGAATGATCTCCAGTGAGGGAGGTTAAATTTTACCAAGCAGTAGTGGGCAACCTGGGTCAAATGGAGTGACCAGAGTATTCAGTTAGGGAATGCAGACAGCTTCACAGATAACACCTAAACGTGAGTTTTCGTGATGGTGTTAAGTTGACTGAACCCAACAAAAGAACCCCCAACCTCACATTTTCAGGTAGTTTGGTTTCCTGACTTGTGGGATGACGTGGCAATACCAGCAGC